CAAATACATACCAGAAATGGTTGTCCAGAATATGGATCAATAAAGTCGGCCCAAAAGCCATTGTCTCTGAGCTCTTGACAAACGGTCTTTGCGTTCAATACAAACTTCTCGAAGAAGTCTTCCCTCTCGAGTTCGATGGCCTCGGAATAGCCGCTCATATCGTTAACTGTCTTCTGACTCATTGTGATTGCAGTCAAACCAGCGCTCAGTTCTTGTCGTTTACTTTTTGGGAACAAATTCGCAAACTTTTTGATCACTTGAGTCGTGAGATTATGTGCACTGCAGTCGACGCCATCCCATGTGTTGGCCTCAGAGGCCATGTCTTGGGCCACAAGTGACTGGTATTTGAGGATTCGGAAGAACTTATGGCACCGACTCTTATAACTGTTGGACAAAAACAAATCGATGTCTATATCTGTGGTCTCAATGACTGGGAGTATAGGGTTTAAAGTATTGATTTGTCTCATGAATTGAATCAACTGTTCATTTGGCAAATCATGTGTCGATTCCTCAAAAGTGAGTCCAATATTGCCATTGAGTGGAGCCCTCAAGTCGTGCGGACCAAAGAGACTCATCTCATGGTTAGTGGCCCTCAAGAAGGTGTCGGTCGAGTCGATGGCCGGACTGCGGGTCCGCTCGGGTGCGGGAATGCGACCCAAAGTGTATGACTTGTCCGGCGGTTCAGAGCTGTAATAATAACTACTTTTCATCCAAACATTTGACAATTGACTCAAATGTCTTGAAACGAAGAAACGATTTAATCGTAACATTGAATCCAAACGAGTCTTAAAACCAGATTTCAATGAATTTGCGATTAGTTTTCACAACAATTCACAATATATTTCCTCATTATATGTCAACAATACGTCATTCACTCAATACATGTCTCCGCCATCTATTGCCATATAATTGTGGCCCCAAAACATGTATTGCATTGCTTAACATTGACATCACATGATTATATTGTCAAATGTGAAAACAACACATCTTTTTAAACGCCAGCAAATTTATGCCCAATATTTGCCCATTGAATACATGTTTATTAATGACATGATGAGTAATCTGTTGACTGGTTCTTACCTTACGCTTCAATTACATATGAATTTGTTAATTATAATTAGTGTTGTTTTGGGTTTCATTATATTTAACACCAATTGAAAGAATAATTGAAATATTGATGAGACATGTGTTTGATTTGTACGTTCAGCCAATATATGCAACTCATGTGTCTATTGGGCACTAAATGAATGGGCGCTCACTTTAGAAAAGCCATTTCTATTTCACACAAACAGTCGTCTTTATTTGTAAATAATTAATAAACGTTTAGTTGTGTTGAATGTATTGATTGTATTGACTGCTATCACAAACTAACAAAAACATGATTGAAATCACATGTAATGATCGTTTGGGCAAAAAAGTGCGGATT